TTATCATTATTATTATTATTATTATTATTCCTCCCCACCTCAACAAACCCTAAAAACACAAGGAATTGACGTTATCTCTACACATTATATTTGTGAAAGTCCTCACTTTGGCCGCCTAAAACTTCCGGACCACTTTACTTTCGAATTTGACAAAATTCATGGTGTTTCAGAATCATTTAAAGGGTGCACAGTTTTATTGGGGAGCTTGAAGTCAATGTAGTTTAATTTTCAGTTTTTCATTAGTTTCGTTTAGATCTATTCTTGGGAAAGTCCGTCTTCTAAAACGCCATTGTAAACAAGTGAGGTTTTCCGTTCTCTAGCCGTGCTCAGTTATTCTACACATTTGAAATTCTGGTGTGTACAACCACGAAAGCGGAACAAAGAATCAATCTATTAATCTATTATGTATTTGGCAACTTGGAAACACAAGTGTCACTTTTCCCATAAAACTACGACAGCTGCAGAGTTGAAAGTTGTCAAGTACCTGCATACATATAGACGGGTCTCCATGACGAAGTCAGATTTTTCATTTATTCACTTCCTGAATTTAGAATAAAATATATTTGACAAAAAGTTGCCGTCCTACTTTGCCTTTTGTGATTATTCCTCTGAGAAGCGAAACAAATCTGGGAATCTGTCCTTCACAACGAAGGTGCCGGACGGGATATTTCACAAGGCGCATTTTGTTTTGAGAGTATCGATTTAGACGTAGGCCTACTAATTTCTTTTTTACATCTCTCAAGATATATTGCTCCTTTCCAGTAGAGTGTAAAATATTGTAGGCCAATGACTTTCAGTTGATGTTAATGCACCGATCATTCCTTTCATCGAAAGGGGGCCCAGCTAGTTAAACATGTCTATCTATCCACCCATATGTACAACAATGCAAAGAATAGGAATTCAAATGTTTGCTGTCAAAGGGTGGGGGCATGGGAGAGGGGTGGATTTAGTGTATGGGGGAGAGTCGAGCAGCAACAGCGGGTACTTAGATTATTCGATTTTATTTCAGCAACAGGTAAGCACCGAAAGAGACACTGGTGAGAACATATCGTTTTGACTTTTGGCAGTAAAAGAAAACAAATAATTTCAGGTATACTCCAACTAAAGTGTTTAAAGACAAAAATCTCAATAGAGAGTGAAAACATCAGAACATAACATAATCATCCAACATGTGGGAGTCTGAGTGAAGTTTCTCATGTTACTTATTGATATATCAATTCTTCCTGGCTTATATTATCATATCAACCGTCAGTGTTGTCCTTGTGTCAGGTAAAAACAACTCTGTAACATGTCGGGGTAATCAGCTTCACGCCACTATATCCCCTCTACTCAGCGTCTATCTGCCTCCGACTTCCTGGCCTGCCTGCCTGCCTTACAAACGCGGAGAGCGAGGGTGTTTTTGATGGATGGGAGGGCGTCATATCCGGCTATCGTGAACATGAAATTTTCGGATGGTGCAGAGGCGATGTCCTCCAACTCCTGGTCGTCTACATAAGGGCCCACTCCTGGATATGGAAATGATATACCATTTTTATCTGTGGTAAACTTGTCACCATTCTCGGGGGGAAATGGGACGAGGGGGG